GGGGGTTCAGGCTAAATTGCAGTCAGCCGAGCGGACACCATAGTTAATTACCCCCTTACAGCTTTTAGTAGGCGGGACGGACATTTAAGCCGGATTATCTGACAGTAATCTAGTGAGACTCCCCACGGGGATAGATCGATCTAAAATCTATGGGAATGCACCCTAAGTTTCCGTCCGCCCGCTCTTCGATCCTTAAGTAAAAGGGGTAGCACAGCGTGCGGGAAAAGCAATCGGCGTGTCAATACCTTATCATCCGTCACAGGTACTTAAAACTTATATTCGTTAACTCATCGACACAAACCAAATATTTCAACGTAATCTATTCGCTGAGGTAGTCGGAGGTAGTCTTGAAACATATTTAGTCAACCCAAAGATCTATACACTGTCACAACTCCGTGGTTAACCCAAGTTTGTCTAAAATATATGTAGATTACAATACAATACGATATATCAATGGATTTGAATACAAAATTGATTACTATAGCCAGGAGTACAATAGCTGTGGAGTGTTATAGCAATTCGATGTAAGAGATGTTTGATATTAGTCGAAATTAGTTTTAACACCCGCGCTATATATTAAAATATATATGCAAGAATCCATAATATTGCTAAATGATTACAGTGAAAAATCAGAGGTAGATGTTAATTGACTGTCATTTTTGTTATTATCATTAACTTTTTTAAAAATGATAGTCGACACGAGAGGAGAGCTTATGCAGTGATATAACTTTAATGTTCAGCATTTAGTTGCTAAAAATAACTTAGCTGTCATGCTCAAACACAGAGGTGTCATTATGTGCCATCTAGAAATCCTATTGAATTTTTAAAGACTTAAATTTCTTTTTAAATATTTTCTTTTGCATAATTCTGAAATCTAATTTACATTTAAACTGAATTAACTTGGTGTAGATCTGTGCGAATTCATTTTAACTCATAATTTTTATTTTATGTTGTTTTCTGTAACTTTGCCCTGGCAACAAGGAAATGTTTTGAAATATATGTTTTGTTGAATTTTAAGTTCTCGTTTAGCTTGATGTCTTGGCAATATTAACGTAGCTATCGCGGAGATGTGTGTGTGTGTGTGTGTGTGTGCGTGTGTGCGAATGTGCGGGAGACGGCGCGAGCTTGTGGCGAGGGAAGTGAAGATGTTTTCAATTTTATGTTTGCACCTTTCCAGTAATCTTTAGTCTGCCAAAGTTTGGAATTGAGCTGAAATGCACCTCATTTCAGAAGTAAAACTTAAGGCAAATATTTAACTTTGTACAATGGGTGATGTGGCTTTGTTTGTGTACTCCTCCAGTCTGTATGTACATGCACCAGGCTCTAATTGGGATAGAAGAAACAAATCAAACAACTCAACAGTTGTTATCAAGAGAGTGCGAGCACATATAAATGCAGACAGTTTGCAAAATAGTAATTTAAAATGAGAGATAGAGGTTTACTTCGCCATTAAACATAAAAATATACATTGCGAGAATCCATTACTCTGTAAAAGAGTCGCTGTGTTAGAAAAAGTAGTAAGAATTAAATAAGTTTAAGACTTACAGGTAGTATTAAAACGGTCACATCTGAAGGATAAAAGCTGGAGAAAAAAATTTTTACTACCCTTTAAAATAAAAGCATTGACTTTCTTGGTAAAAACATTGAGAGATGTCCCACACTAAAGGGGAAATGTATATTCAGCATCCTTGAGACCCGAAGCCATTTGTTTTCTACTCACGTGTTATTAGAAATGTGCAAACAAAAACACCGAAGGACTGAGGACATAAATAGACTGTAAAACAAAAATAACGAGATAATGTCCGCATACATAAATTGTGCACTCCCTCAGGAAATCTGGCATTCATACAGATAAACGTCTGGAAAGGATTGAGATAAAGTAGTACACATGATGCTGATACCTTAATACTATTGTTTAAAAATGACCTTGTATTAACCTGTCTGGCTGAGGGCATTGCTATTATTTGACATCAGGTTGATGTTGATTACCTAAGACAACCTATTCAAACAAGTCTACTTCTTTTTGATGTACATATACGATTATCATAAATGCGTAATTAATTAATGATATATGGCCTTTATCTGTGAAAAATAGCAATAATAGTTTTATTGTCCACAGACTAATTTATTATCACGATATGACAAAGACTACCCACTTATGAAATATTAAACACAGAGTAATATCCTACTATCATATAATGCAAACTTATATGTGTTGGGTTAGTCGGCCCATGCCCTAGATAAAATCCACTTCATCAAATTATGACAGTGTTTTGACGACGCCATTTTCCGCGGAAGAATGGTTAAATTATGTATGATTTAAAAGGTTTTCTGCCAATGTAAGATCCTGGCAACATGTGAGTCGATGGAATTCATATTGATCAGGACAGCCCTCTTCATTTTTTTTGTCATTCGATTCCCCATACCCTTTCGTTGATGTGTGGTCCACTATAAAACCCGTAACTCATAATATAGTGATGGCTGTGAAAAACAACCCATTACTTAACGAGTTTAACAGGCGGATTCAGTTTTTTGCTCCTTTTTAAATTTGAATTTGCGTTGTTGGAAAAGGAGACTGCCGTACTTGTGTTAGATAGTTATCTTTTTGTAATGGTCAGAAAGGAAAACCAGCAAGAGTCAGCTTAGAAGGAGCAATGTGTATTGACAAATAGAACTGTCAGTAATCGCGTTAAGGGTCACCTGCCCGATCAATCAGGCAAGTCTGGTAATGTAAGAGAAAAACTAATAACAATTATGATTCGCTGCATTAACCACCAACGCCCCCTTTACACAGATCTAGAACTACGACAACCGCCTCCCCACAACAATTGAGGTTAAAACTGCGACTGAAGAGCCAATGGTCCATACTTTTACCATTATTATTATTATTATTATTATTATTATTATTATTATTATTGAATAGATTGGTCAACGAATTGTAAATCAAATGCCTGTAGGAGAGCACATTTGGAAGCTGCTGTGAAGAGTAAGCTTCGACCCTCAGATCCCTGGCCACTGGTGACAAGTATTAAATATCCTTACACAAGACAATCATTAGACCTCGATACTCATTATTTTGGTGGTGGGCAGTCCGATAAACGGACCAGAACATTCAAGATAAAATTGAGGGCTCTTCAAGGCTGACAATATGGTCCCAACAAGCTATTTCACGGGAGGCAGAAAGGAGGCAGAAGTACTGTTTGGCCATGGTAGCTCACGGGCCTTGGGAGCACTGCTGTCACAATCATCATCAACGTTTTATGAAGGTACACGTGGTCGACTAAGGGGCGCAGTCAAATATGGGGGGGGGGGGCTACCAGCCTTGAATCGTCTCATTTTGATAAGAAGAAATTAATCTCAGACATGCGCCTACCACCACACTTTTTTTGGGGTTCAAGGTTCAGGCCTACCCAACTACCAGTCTCGGCACCGAATGAACAAATTTTGAGTGGTGATGCAATGCTTTTCAACCCTGCTGAGAATTGTCACTATTATCAGATCGCGTACTAGGCAAGAGCGGTGTCGCTTCTGATACTGTGTAATACGATCTGACACACACCTTGAAAACGGGTAGTGTGGTCTGATCTACCGATGAATTCAGGATCATTCGGTGCCGAGTCTGGTAGTTGGGTAGGTCTGAAGGTTGGACCGCCTTGACAGAAAAGTTCATCGCGTTGAAATCGTTCCGGGCACAATTGCTATATCATATGGCTTTCCAATGCCCATGGCGACCATACTAGCACGACGTTTTGGTAAAGTTACTTTTCCCGGCTCCACTATATTTAAATAAGTCGAAAAATGGTGCGTTTTGCAACATTACCCGGTCTTAAATAGTTTCAATGTACCAGGCCAGAAATCATGGCACATTTCGTGAAATATTTATACAAGTATACAAGGCATTCCGTATACCGACGACGTAGGCCTGGTGCATGATTCTAAAATGCGACCACAAAGCCCTACGCTACGACCAGTTTTCGCGTTTGGACGACAAATCCGTATTGCTATATGCGTTCATGACATCTAGATAACGAACCCTTTTCACGTTCACAATGATACTAAAACAAGGATTGTTTTTGGATTGATTATGAGAGAGAGAGAGAGAGAGAGAAAGAGAAAGTGAGAAAGTGTGTCTTTCCAGAAACTGCCCCCTTCCCGAAACAACAGCCGTAAAGATTACTCATAACATCCCCACCCGCGGAATATCGTTATGTTTGAATATAAGAAGAAAAACGTATTAAACCTAAAACAAAGGATCCAAAATTGTATCCCGGCTACCACACATGTACGAAGCAACGTCAAAAATACATTTTATTAGTTAATCTATAGACAATTCAGCATCCTGTAAAGGTACATGTAATGGATATCTGATCAAAAGTTGTTACACTTGCGGAGTCAGGGTATCAAGAAGAAGTGAAGGGGTAAGGTGGTTTGCCTTAGGCTCCCTGTATATATCCCTGTATCCGACAATGTCTAAGAGATCATGAGCTCCTCGCAATGCGCAGATACACGAAGATGACGCTAACAAATATGGCATCATTTCTAAGAAATTAGGACGGTAAAAAAAATCGAACCGCTTCCTTTTTGTCTTGACAGATCTTGGTCTTCGCACCCCAGCATAAAAAACGTTTTCGTCATGCAGTACATGTATGTCATGTATGTACATTGCTCTTGATGAAGTTTGTTGGTCAATTTAGATTTTGCATTTGAGCCACAAATGGTTTTTATCGTAAATATGAAAAATAAACCGTTATAGGACTTTTATATTCAATAAAGAAGATTGCCAAAATGAGTATTCTAATCAAAAGCCCTAGTCCTATGTATAAATTAGTACTCCACAACTGGACAACTATTGAGATTTTGAACAAATTGCAAAGATCATCATGAGTGTAAAATTCAAAATGTGTAGTCCTGTCACCACGAAATGAAAGCGTCATAGTTGAATCTCATTTTTAGCTGCTGTATATCGAAGACGACGTGGTTTAGCCTGGCTTGCCGGTATACGTCCCAGTTGACGCGCTCCTTGAGGTTTTTCTGCATTTCGTCGTCAGACGGGAAGGGAGAAACCTGGGATGATAAAAAACAACATTTTTACTTGTACATTTTACAAAACCCACCAGAAAAAAAGGGGGGGCTGGCGATATAACATGTTCAGACCTCGTACTGCAGCCTGCTCAGACTATGAATATTTAAAAAAGTACACAAAGGAGTGGTAGCGTCGTCAGACGGGAAGGGAGAAACCTGGGATGATAAAAAACAACATTTTTACTTGTACATTTTACAAAACCCACCAGAAAAAAAGGGGGGGCTGGCGATATAACATGTTCAGACCTCGTACTGCAGCCTGCTCAGACTATGAATATTTAAAAAAGTACACAAAGGAGTGGTAGCGTCGTCAGACGGGAAGGGAGAAACCTGGGATGATAAAAAACAACATTTTTACTTGTACATTTTACAAAACCCACCAGAAAAAAAGGGGGGGCTGGCGATATAACATGTTCAGACCTCGTACTGCAGCCTGCTCAGACTATGAATATTTAAAAAAGTACACAAAGGAGTGGTAGCGTCGTCAGACGGGAAGGGAGAAACCTGGGATGATAAAAAACAACATTTTTACTTGTACATTTTACAAAACCCACCAGAAAAAAAGGGGGGGCTGGCGATATAACATGTTCAGACCTCGTACTGCAGCCTGCTCAGACTATGAATATTTAAAAAAGTACACAAAGGAGTGGTAGCGTCGTCAGACGGGAAGGGAGAAACCTGGGATGATAAAAAACAACATTTTTACTTGTACATTTTACAAAACCCACCAGAAAAAAAGGGGGGGCTGGCGATATAACATGTTCAGACCTCGTACTGCAGCCTGCTCAGACTATGAATATTTAAAAAAGTACACAAAGGAGTGGTAGCGTCGTCAGACGGGAAGGGAGAAACCTGGGATGATAAAAAACAACATTTTTACTTGTACATTTTACAAAACCCACCAGAAAAAAAGGGGGGGGCTGGCGATATAACATGTTCAGACCTCGTACTGCAGCCTGCTCAGACTAAGAATATTTAAAAAAGTACACAAAGGAGTGGTAGCGGAAATATGCATAACACGACTGACGCAGCTTTTTAAATTAATGTCACCGATGTTATCATGAGGCTTCTGCCACCATGTATGTGTTCATGGTCACGTGCGCACAATTACCAGTCCCAACAAACGCAATCAGTCTTACACTTAGCCATCTCAGCTATCGCAATGAGCAGTCCCAACTCACCGTCGTTCTGAGGCGCCGCATTAATGCATCCGGGCAATGCTCCAGGTAAAATTTCTTGTTGATCATGATACATTCAGCACCATTGCTGACGATACAGAGACTGGGCTGGTCGTCAAAAACAATATTTGCTAGACCCTGCAAAAAACAAAAGTTTAAATTGTACGTGGTGGACTCTATAGGGCAAAAGAAAAAAAAAGCAAATTTTGTGCGCGCTTTACTTAAGTAATACATGCAGCAAGAATCCATATACATGTATATACAGTGTGTTTAATGTACACACACGCGCGCGCGCGCGCACACACACACACACACACACACACACACACACACACACATGTAACCTAAGAGGGATCAAGAGAGTGCAAATAAAATGACAAATGGTATAGTTGCTTTCTGATTGATCAAGAGGAGGTCAATTATTTTAAAGAAGTGACCTTCCGGGAAAACCCTTTATTCTACAATGTCAGGGGCGGATCCAGGATTATGTGTCGCACTGTTTTTCTCCCACTCTTTCACACGTGAGTGGTGAAGTGAGACGCTGCATCTTCGTACTGGTATAGAGAAAATGGCAGATAAGTAAGGTGTTGACTAAATATACTCTTTGTGTTTAACTATCATCTTAAAAATCCCTCTAACAAAACGGTTACAGACTTTGGGCGTCGGTCACCTCTTGCCTAGGCACATTTATATACCTAAGCTGGGGAAATTGACTTCTGCCTGCAGCGTCAGTCAGTTATATCCCAGCTTCGATTTGTCCCTAGCCATGAGGTGACCTCAGCTGGAGAAAATTGACCACCGCTTAGAGTGTCGGTCAGTATTGATTAGTACCTAGCCACGAGGGGGCCACAACCAAAGCTATAACTGGAGACTTACAAATACGGATCCTTTTGTCAGCGTTTGCACCTGCACAAACTGTGGGTTGAGGTCAGCTTCTGTCACGATATGCTCCTGAAATATATGTTTGTTTTCAAAAATATTATAACAATTCCCGTTATAAAAATGTTTACGTGTACAGCGCTTACACCTAAATCGACACAAAACAAATAAGCACTTGTTGCCGCGTCTCTCATTCTCTGTATTCGAGGATGCGGGAGATATCTAGGTGGAAATAAATAATTGGTAATTAGTAACTTACCCTTTCTTTATAGGCTGAATCCAGGTCGTCGAAAAGTGTGCGTTTTTGGTTGACGAACCCAGGCTCCAAATCGTCGTCAGCATCATCCGGCGCAGTCTTAACGGGAACTGAAATAAGCAATTCGGTGAGTGTGAACTGCTTCTCAGTGATCAGAGTATACATCCAGCCTGGAACACACACTTCTTTTTAAGTCCCACAGTGCAGAATTGGTCACAAACTTGAATGGTTTATCAATCAATATCCATTACATCTAATAGTGGATCGAAGTGCATTTTGTTATTGCTTTTTAAATTGGAATCTAATAGGCGGGGGTGGGGGGGGGGGGGGGAGAACAGTTTATGTTTTGGTCTTTCTTTCCCACCCTCCATAATCATTCTACACGTACATGTATATGTACAGGGGGCACCGCTGTCAATCATCGTCTCCATGTCACTTTTCAATCTAGGCATCCGGGGATACTAACAAACCGTCCAATCATACATCATTTTACATATTTCAAACAGTTCTGAATGCTAATAGCCAAAGGCAAAGTACAGGTACAGAAATGGCGTAATTACTCGTAAGTTAAACATTAACACACTTTTTCCTGACACTTCCAATTTCTATCCCCACTCAAGATTTCGTTCTTTTTTATTTAATATTTCCTGGCCATAGCCACAAAAGTATTTTGCTCTTAAATTGTCTCTGCGTGCGTGATCCCGTTATCACTCACATGTGCCGCTTACTTTTTATTCACAACTTTGCTTATATGTTTCAAACATGAAATACCTGTATATTAGTCACCATATGACACCAGTTGAGAAGTTTGTCACATTTTACCATAAAAAAAAACAAAAACAAATAAGCCTTACAAATTGTAAGGTCGGGATTCTGTTACCTTGCTCTGGGACGCTCTTCTGCTTCTTGTTATGTGCACTGAGTTTGTTTGCCAGTCTTGGTCTCTGGGAATAATAGAACTTTGAAAATAAATTACCCAAAATTGTTGTTTTAAAAGCAAAAAAACAAGTTATCACAAAAGAGCCCACAAAATGCATTCACATCTTTTTTCACGGTGTTTAGTTCAATGTTTCGTAATTAATTAATATAAAAATATTTTCAAAATGACATCAAAATACATACTCTCTGGAGTAAACTTTGTGTAACTTTTGCAGCTTTATCATTTGCGGATTTAACGTTTCTTTTAATGGACGCTGGCGTTTGTAGCATCACAGGCGCTTGTGAAAATGCACTCTGGGTTCTTCTGTATGTAGATAGATCTCTGTGATGAGCACCGGTAGATGGCGAAAATGAGTTGGAAGCCTCGACTTCAGCTATGACATCTGCGATAGGGACATCGTCTGCGTCTTCTCCACCGCAAGGACTTGGAAGTTCAATTTCATTGTCTGTCAAATAGCGTTCATATTCTGATTGGTTTACTTGGAAACAAGTGTATCCATAAGTTTTATCCACGATCTTCTGCGGAATCAATCGTCCAGTTTTTATATCCACCTGTGGGTTGACCTGTACTAGTTTTTTGAGGACCTGCACACTGCCCTGTAAGGATGACATGGAGATGAAATTTTTCGTGGAAAATGGTCCACGCAAATGTCATCAAATTTATATCAGCATTGGTTCAATATGATTTTTAATAGGCCTACTAAAAAGTTGCACTGAGGAATTACAAATGCTGAGAAAATACCAAATAGGCACATGGCTTTGAATATTGAAATATTTTATGACAAAGAGAAGGTAAAAACATACCGATTTGACGATAATGATCCAATCAGAATAATTGCTATCTCTCACGATGACACCACCTCGTCTGAAACAAAACGGAGAAAATCGATAATTAAAGCAAATACTACTACTCAATTCTCGTACAAAATAATGAAAAATGTAACATTTTCAATAGCAGCTGTTTTCCATAAAATAAAAAATTATAGAAAATGTCCATCGAACTAAAAGTCAGTGATAAAAAAAAAAGGTTTGGAACAGCAATATTCGAAACTTTTAGTGACAATGGCGACGGTAGTCTAAGTCAATGTGTAATCTACTTTATTAAAAAAAACAACACTTACTTAAAGAATGAGAAAACGAACAGTTTTGGATCTAGCTGAAGACGCTCTATTGGCCATCCGTCAAGACAGTCGATACTCCTGAAACATTTAATACTTACTAATAAACAACGCCGGTGTAACGTGACAGAGAGTCCGCTTCCCATTCATTGTTACAGGTGAGCCTCGCCCTAGATTTTGACCCGCTTAGGTCAAACTAACCCTAACCATTATAACTATATGGAGGGCGGACTTTCTGTTACACTGACCCTCTGTTTCGTTACACACGTCTGGAAACACGTTACAACTATGGGTAGGTAGAATCAGTCATGTTCCCGTCACCCTCATTCAATTTTTGGATTTTTGCGCATGGTCTGAGAATTATCAATCCTTATTTATTTTAAACTCTAAACGTACACAATGCACTGTTATGGACCTTTATTACAATAATGTACAACTTAAATAGGTCGCATTTTCAAAAATATATAATGATTATTACCATTAATAAAATGCCATAAATATGATTTACCTGATGAAATCATTGTGATCAGGATCGTTTATATTCTTTGCTCCCCCGACCATGAATATTTGCTCATAAACCTAGACAGGAAGAATAAGTTATAAATATTCAGGGACTATCAGTTTACGTTCGCGATATTTATTTTACAAAACTATTTAAAATTTCAACCTTTTTTTATATTATACTTATAATCTAGTGGATGAAGGTTAAAAATGAACACGTAATCAAACTCAAGATTTTGACAAAAGCAGTGAGCTGCCCACCTACCCACAAAAAAAAAAAACAAAAAAAAAAACATGTTTTTTAGCATAAAAATAGAAAAATATGAGACATATTAATATGGGTAAATAATCTGCGGTTAACTGTGTACCTACCGTGGCGGATATACAGAGGAGCTCTACGTAATTCTTTGTAATGATGGTCGACTGGCGTTTGTCACGGCTAATTATCGAAAGCTCCTGAACAAAATAATTCAACAAATAAATAAACAAAGAAACGAATGAATAAATGGCAACTTACTGCACAGGTATTTAAGTAGGAAAATGACATCCGTGAAAAGGTGTCTATAAATTTTAGCGTGAAAAACTTTTAAAGGGCGTTCCGGTTTCTATTTCACTATTAACATAAAGATTAACTGAGCAACTGCAATCTTAGCAATTAAATGTGTTACATGTGCATGTGCAGCACTCCACACGGAATGTTTAGCCTTATAATTAACGTGAAATGTAGATAATCACAATGTTAGACTGCTCTCTATCAACACCTCTATCAAGGTGGCAGATATTATAGGCAGATTTTCCAAAAGCCAGAGATAACAAAATGTCTGTCTATTTATCTTTATAAGACATATCTGTAAATATCTAGTGAAAAATCAATCTGTGGTCCTGGTAGAGGGTACTGTTTGACCCCTATCATTATAGTAAAGAGTAAAAATAATATTATCCACAGAAGCATTTTAGAAAGATTACATGCAACAGACAATACACTTCAATCGTTAAAAAAAGAAGAACTGAATTTACCCCAAAACTCTCTCCTCTGGACAAATAGGCAACGGTCTTCGCCTTTTCACTCCCAGGGGCGAAAATGGCTACGATACAAGTCCCGAAGAGGATGAAGTAAAAACCTTGAGGAGGGTGACCCTGGCGGACTATAACACGCTTCGACTCGTAACTGAAAAAAATAGATATGTTACAAATGTTATGATGAGTCATTTGGGGTCTTGCATTGAATATGTGTTGGGTAAGAAAGTTTCAAATACTCTGAGTACTTGGTAAGGAAAAGTGTGTCATCCTTCAGTTGTTTCAGTATTCAAATTTAATCAAAACTTTATTATTTTTTAAAGATATAATTCTCAATTGTAGTATTTCATAGTTTCTCGAGCAGTCCGACTGTTTACCTCTCCAGTACGCCATACTGTGCCAGCTTTCTTTGCATCCGTAAAGGATAGTCTGCCACTTGCTTGTGCGACCGGAGTGCGATGGTTGCCTGGGCGGAAAAGACAGAACTTTGTGATCTATCTATTCTATAACAGTCGTCAGGTGTCGTATTTCGAAGGGGTTGAAAGAAAAGGCCTGATTATACTTCAATATTTCTGGCAGAGAATGGTGAGGCAGTCCAAAATTTTATTTTCATTTTTTTTTCATACGATAAGTATGTCAATGGCCCCTCTTATATTGTTGTATAATAGGACTACAGTTCCTGCATTATTTTGCCACTTCAATCGTCGCGCGTGCTATTGTGTATAGACCTATATGCTTACTTACAGGGATATGATCCAGATTAGTGCATTTTTTTCAGGAGTCACTTCAAAGAACGTGTGTTACTATTTGCAACGATAAATAGAGACGTAGAAATCATACAATTATTGAGAAAGAAGTGCAGTGCGTAGTACAAAAGTGCCCACTTACATACGTTAATTCTTCTTGTGTCCTTTCTTCTGGTCGTTTTGTTAAAATTCGTTTTGCTTCCGTAGACAGTCGAAGCTGCAATTACGAAGTAGCAAATACTATGAAGAATAAATACTAGCGAAAGGCCCGACACTTAAATATTTATACTTATCAAATATAATAATATATCAAGCAATTAGCTGATGTTTAACTTTCAGTCGATCGATAGAAAATGCCAAGGAAAGTACGGTCGAAAGTCATTTACTGATTTATTTTGGGTGATAATGACAAAAGGTTTTGTTGTTATTCATCCATGCTGATTTATCCTTGTTTGTCCATCTCAGCCTCATAATGTTCCAAGTGTTAATGATTTAATGTCAGTTATTCCACACTAATACACAAGGACAAGAAGAAAAAGTCTGGCGCACTCGCTAAATTTTAAGCTGAGCTTACTGATCTAAGAGACCATTCCCACAGATATTTAGATCGATCTATCCCCCAGGGGAGTCTCACTAAATTGCTGTCAACTTGGTCGGCTTAAATGTCTGTCACGCCTAGTAAAGCTGTTAGGGGGTAATTATCTTTACCCTAGCTAATTCGGTAGGCGTGACAGACATTTAAGCCTCTTGAGCTGACAGCAATTTAGCATGATCACCCAGGGGGTTTGGTCGATCCAGATGGATCGATCTAAATCTGTGGGAATGCAGTCTAAGGTTCAGTCACTTCGTAGCTTTCATTTCCACTGTCATGAACCTCACCTACCACGTGAATTTGATATGGAGAGTTACATTTCACTCATTAATTGTTTTCACCACCACATATGATAAGTGGTGGTTACACAGAGGTGCAATGTCCCCATGATTAACTCTGGTGAAAATATCTCCATAAGTGAGGTACATGTGTGTGGTCCTGTCACTATATTAGCTCTGCTCCTCATTCAAGAGGACGGTGGTCTCAAAGGAAAAAAAATGAAATAAAATAAAGAAATATAAACAGTACCCACCTGTCTGTTTGCTTTAAAGTCTGAGGGATCAAAGGTGTCCTTTTTGTCGATGCCTAGAGCAGCTGCCTGGTCGATCACCATCAATTGTTCACCAAACTGACTGTTATTGGCGCTGTCACTGAAATAACAGAGCAAGTCCATGTTTGGCGGACTGTAATGTGGTCAGNCCGACCTTAAGCGTAACAGAGATAGGCATCTATCAATCGGCAATCCTCGGCTCATTCCGCAAGCTCCATACATTGTCGAGTGCGGAGACATCCGAGTAGTTCCGAGTGGGCACCTATTGTTCTCTGGGTTCTATTCATTCCGACCAAAGAGAGATCGTAATACGGGCTCCACCCCCACGCGTGTAATCTCCTTCTGTTATAACTCCTTGGTTTTTAAGATAATATGTTAAGCAAATGTGTTTAAAATTTGAATGCATTGTTAGGAACAATATAAGCTATTGTATCACTTAAAGATTATTTTTTATTCAGAAGAGTCTGCTGTTCTAATATACTTAATATTTACTTATAATAATAAAGAAAATGCTTTACATATATCAGCTATAGCTAGTAATTTTACTACTGCATCGTATTTTATATTTATGTTTTTAACTCATTCCGTTATGCTCATTTAAGACTTGTCTGCAAACAAGCTAACAAACTAACCAATATCAATAAAAGGGAATTTATTAGTTTTCACGTGTATATAGTACACGAACCCACAACGTACGTTTAAATGTGATATCTAATTTACAGACTTGACATTTAATTTGGGATATGTCAGTTTCAAAGGTATGCGAAGGTAAAAATGCATTTGTTTTTTTAAAAAACTCAGATCTCATATAAAATTTGTGATAAAATTTGGTATGTGAATGTAAAAGTGTATATTCAGACTAACATGTCTGTTTCACTGCTGCATTGTGCAATTTGGGTAGTCCTCCTTTGGGCTGATCAAAGCTTGGCTTTCCTGTCAAAAAGTCCCCATATGTCGGCAACTACTGCATAGCAGAATATGAAACTTTGCATGCCCTAAAATGCAATAAACAGTGTTTTACAAAATTGTTAATCTGTGCCAGAAAATATTGGCAGACAGATTATTCTGTCACACGGAGCGGTCGATCGTTTCAGTTTTATAGAGTTATGCTAAGAGTCTATAGATTGATGCACAGAGGCCTCACCCAATGTATCGAAATCTTACTACCAGAGTACAGCACTCACTGTCCCTCCGGATATGCTGTTGTAACTATAAACAAAAGCCAACCAGTCCGTTCAGAATGAGGGGCAAATTGCCACCAGAACGCTTTTTTCAAGGCCCCTTATTAACACCAAATTGGTTTTAGCAGATTAAAATACCAGACGACCTCTGAGGAAGCCACTGTTAACAGCAAAACGTAGTCGTCTTTTTTCTATAGTAAACTATGGCCCATGGCCGTTTCTTGGTAGAAAATTAAACGGCGTGCTTTTCTTTATAGAGGTCACATTTTACCTCTTCCGCTCAACTAATCAAAACGGAGTTTACAGACATCCAGAAGAGTCCTACGACGAAGCGTGTGCCGCGTTTAAAGAGAATAGGGTCATTGACAGCGTCAGCATTTGAAAGTGCATACCACATTGGTGCCGAAAAAAAAAAACAATGTTAATTATCGATGAAAACATGAACCACATCAAACAAAAATAATAATAATAATAATAATCTGGGAGCCACTTGACAATCATTTGATAGACGTCACCTTATGTTCAATTTTAGGTTGCACAGTGAGATTGTCGGTGCACATAGAGCACATTTAATAGCAGATAGCTTACAGAACCAAGGGAATTAGCGGTTACCTTGGTCATCAAAACCGCCATATTTGAACCAGATAGACAATATGTGGGAAGGCCATTACTTGCTGAATCAACGCCTACCTGCAACAAAACTTAAGTTTTGATCGATGCCTAGAATGTTATTCCAGATTAAACTTTAAAAAAAAAAAACATCACAGGGAATGCCTTGCTACTTGAGAGCCCTGGTAGCAGCCAAATGAGGTCAGGGCTAACAGCAACCGTTGCTGTGACTAGACACTGACACGATGGACCTTTGTGGGGTGTGTAACTCTTTTACAGATGATAATTTAGAAATATGGAGATCCAAAATATCGCTTTTAATGGTTGTCGTATATGACTAAAAATATGTTTTTGTTTGCTTAATTGTCGAATTCAATTAATGACCTACTGTCACAATGACATCAAAGAGACTATTAAAAGTTATTAAAACACGATTTCAATCTTTATTTTCATTTATCAGTCGGCAAAATATGAAAAACTGATGACTAATGATTTGGGAAAAAAAATCCATACTAAATGTCAAATCTGAATTAACTGAAATAAGACTGAAAGAAATCCATTTTGCACGGAATATCTTGTCATCAGTTATGGTCAAGCGATACCCTTATGTTGTTAAAACAAAACCATGTATTTTGATAACGATATAGGCAGAAATAAGGTTGTAATGTCTAAATGTAATTCTGTATTTGTGGTAAAGGAAGATAAACTCTCAGTTTTAAAGAGTTCCAATCTGTAACAGCCGAGTCCTTCATTAGATACACACANTGCATTACAAAAAAAATCCACGTTGAAAGCATTAACTCTCGCAATGTCTTTCTACCGATTAATCCATACCTCAAAACATGTACATTGAACAGCAGGGTCATCAATATCTTGCCCTCTACAATTAATTGCTACTTTCTTTTTCCAATGACCAATACAATAACAGTATCGACACTGTGTAAGTTAAAGCTACAGAAGAGTTTAGATTATTGGATCCAGCTACTCGCCTGTCTAATAACCACCGAACAAGACGATATTAAGCATAACTACGTGTCTATATATGGCGTGCCGTTATTAGGATCACATTGAACGCAAAATGTTAGAGATACATCAAAGTCGAGCACATACAAGAAAGTAAAGTGTAGGTTTTTATAAAGGGAAATGCGGATATTTTTCTATTATTCTTAAAAGCGAAAAAGTTGAATCTGTAAACATTTAAATATGAACATTTCATGATCACTGCCACTAGATATAATGAATTGACAAAATTTTCAATCATTTTAATATTCACTTTTTGATAATGTTCCCTGATATCGCTACTTGCCGCACCTTTATTATCTTCCCATATTTGTCATATAGCATTTATGAAAAATTATCTTTCGGTTAATGCAGAATGTGAGTATTATTAAAGGACACTTTCATTGCATTTCGATGAATGATTTAAAAACGCCAAGTATGTAATGATTGGTTAAACAGAAATAAAAATGAATGCAGAAATATCGCAACAAAGATTTTACAAGATATGAATATATCCATATTATGAAAGAATAAAGTTTCTACATAGGATGATAAAACATTTTTTTTATTAGAGCTTTAGTCTATAAGTAAAACATAAGGCTGATTTATCGTCAATATATTCAAATATCAATTATACAATGCATCTGTACTTACCCCGTCAACATTTGGATTTCGCGGTCGCGGTGATACCCCAGTGGTAAGTGATGCAGTGCTATCCCCTGAAGACCGTCTGCGTCTCCCCGGGGTGCCCCCTCTCAAGATCGCCGACCCCCTGCGTCCGTGTAGGAGAGGCATTGTGGAACTGGGGGTTAAACTGCCTCTTTTACTGTGTATCTCCGAACTGTCCGATGTCTGTGTGGATCCACGGCGTTTGTCAACACCAACGCTTTTGAGGATGGAACTCCACGATAACCTGCCGGACTGCTTTTTGTCTAATTTATACCTGCTGACCAAAGATGCATCAATGGACTCCTTTCGGAAATTAGTGGTCCCGTTAATGACAGACAGACGACGGGGACTGGCAGGCGTTCCGTTGTCCTGTTCGTCATATACAGAGAGCCTCCTGTTACTCCCCCGAGGTGTCAAACTTCCCCGACGTGGACTCTTTTCTGGTTTGTCTGTAGGGATGCAAAAAGTGACGTTCAGATTTCCAGCATTTTTTTCTTCGGCTATTTGTCGATCTCCGTTGTTTTGCTCTCTGACGATATTTAAGCTTGGTGAAGATGTATTGGTTTCTCTGGCATAAAATTTGGCAGTGGTCGTGTCATGAGCGTCCTTGATGGGCCCCAACCCTTCTTCAGTTAGGGACTTCGACGGCATTGTTTGTCAATTTTTAAACAAAGGTTAATATGATCAGGTGTAATAAAATCCCTCCACTTCTATCGGTGAGTAAATTGTGATGTTTACCGCTTTTTGGCGGTAAAACACCATCTTTTTATCCCTGTCGTTATTAGGCAAATTTACCTTTTCTTCATCTGTTAACGTTGTGTCGCTGTCTATACACTAACGACGGGCCCAATATCCCCGTTGTTTACTATCAACATGACTATACAAATATAAAGTGGTGTGCTCATATCCCGAAACTTTACTTAAACAAGAGTACGTGTGCTCATAGTTGTGGAAATCAAGGATGATCGAAGGCTGGGCGAGAACTAGTGATGACGTCATGTGTTGACTAGCAATTCGATTGAGAGTGTCGTCAAGGACAAATTACCTATTTCTTACCGCTCGTTCAGATCAATTTTTTGTTTTTTAAGTAAAATAGTCACATGTTTAATGTTGGCAATTGGTCACCCTGCTCTCTCTCACTCTCTTTCTCTCTTTCTCTCATTCTCTCTCTGTCATTTTTCTGGCAATTACAAAATAAGAACAAAATCTCATTTTGAAACAATATCAAGAACCTAATACCAGGTAATAACAGGGCGCCCTAACAAGATTCTATAACAATCGATCTTCTTCTCCATAACTCGTATCAATATTTCATGTGTTGTCCACATCCGCCAGTAACCAGCGTTAAGTGACGTCAGGCTGTATTTTGCCTGCCGAATTCCCAATACCGTCCATGGCACCCATCGATCTATTGGAACTCAGCGTGGAATACTTATCCTTCATGATATGGCTTATATCACAGGCCTCATTTAATTCCAACATGGCCCTGATGATGTATTTTTAATGGATAATAACGTTTATAAAAAAAAAAAGACCACACTAGATACCGTGTCCAATGTGAAAATTTAATATGCTAAGAATATTCTATGCTTCCTTTAAAAAAAAAATGATAAGGGAAAAAAGAGAAAACCCCCACCAGATATTTTGTCTGTAAGATTTTCGTGAAACAAAAATAAGCGGAAAGACGATATCGGAAAGTTTAATAGAAACTTCCGATATTTGCCTACTTCTTACAGAAGTGAACTTTGTCAATAATAGACAATACACCTTTTAACTAAGCAAACCACCACGGCTCTTAACACTGTTTGGGATTTAGATAATAATGGCCCTCTCCGTTGGCCAGAAACGAATTTTGTGTTCGTATTTTGTAATAGGGGGAAATATTTTATTGAATTCTACATAATAGTAGCAGTTTAAGGCTCACGTTTTGATAACATGTGTCCAGCTGTTGTGTAGTATGCGCTGCACTGTTTCTCCTAAGAACGCTTTTAAAAATACAAACACGAATGTCGCCCTGCGTTTTGAAGTGCTGACGGTGACTGCCATCAGCTACCTGCCACCAAATATGTACTTACTGGATGAAATGCTGATAACAGAAATTCTTTTTCAATACACCACCCCAAAAAAGTTGACTTTTACTATATATGTTGTTATAAAATATGTGATCATTATGTAATGTATAATCATCATTTTGTATTTGTCTCTGTAGATACATGTAGGAGAGCAATGAGCATTCTTTGCTCGCCCTGGTTTTTCATTTCAACAATTTCGGAGCAGAGGATAGTACATGTATTTTGCAATAGAGCTTGGTATGTCAATATATTTAATTTAAGTGAAATGTCTCCCGAAACCTCCAGCTATATGTTCTTGTTAATCCGCACCCATAGCACATACCAGGAACGCACCCTTCTAGTCGTACATGTTGTATACACCCAAACGTACCCAGCGTGACAATACCAATATTTTGGTTATATAAACGTTATGATAACGTTATATTTACGTTCTGTGTTTGCTAGGTACCTACACACACTGGACAAAAGAAGTGTCACCCCCTAACTCAGAGTAATAAAAGTAGGCAGATCTTGGGTACTTATAATGCCTGGTCTACTTATAATGTGACTAATGAGTATAAAACCGCTATACCATGGCATTGTATTGTTGGTCTTGTACATGTACAGCAAATGTTATTCCTGTCTTCCTCCAATATGGTAAGATGCAAGCAATTATTTAACAGTTATAGGTGCAAGTTATTAACCTGAAGAGGCGGAATATAAGCAATGTCAGAATATCGATACAATTGAATTGTTCAGTCAGAACCGTGCAGAGGGTCTGGTCTTGGTATAGAAACACTGGATCAAGAGACAAATTGCCTCTGATGGGTCGTCCAAGAAAAAATACTATCCGTGAAGACCGACGACTGATTTTGATGTCCAGGTTGTCAAAGTTCGACACTGCTTGTCAGTTGACAACACAGTGGAACAATTTCACACATAAGAATGTGTCTGTGAAAATTGCTAGGCGTCGGTTACATGCTCAGAGAGTGTACAGCAGGGTAGCAAGTCTGAAACCTCTTATATCGTTACAAAACAGGCAACTTAGAGTGAACTAGGGTCAACAGGATCTGGAACTAGACAGTTCATGACAATTGGTCCTATATATTTTTTCTGATGAGTGTCGCTTTGGTCTGACCTCTGATGACAGACGGGTACTATGCTGGCAAACTGCTGGTTAAGCATTTGAACCACATGCACTGAATTTTCGAACCCGGAGCAGCATATTCATCATGGTGTGGGGCTGCATCAGCATCCATGGCTTGGGCGAATTGATAGTGGTTAATGGAAACATGAATCACTAGAAATATATCGATGTTTTGGAGTCAGGCTTGCTACCACCTATTACTAACATGTTTGGTGACAGGAATTATCCATTTGTTCACCAGGATGACAATGCTCCTTGTCACAACCCCAGAGCAGTTGATGATTGGTTTGACCAACAGGACATTCGCAGGGTGATGTGGCCTGCCCAGAGTCCAGATGCAAACATAATAGAAAATTTGTGGAATGATATGTCAAAACTTTTTACAAATGTCCGTCTAACCAGCAGAGAAACTCTGTTATATTCAGTGTTTCATGCTTGGGCCAGCATAAGCCCTGAACGCATCAGACAATTATATGAATCCTTGCTTCGTAGACTGGCACCTATTATTAGGTCAAGTGGCTATGTCACTAAGTACTAATTTTGGACTTGAAACTGCATATTTTGGTAGAATGTATATTTTGTTCTCATTTTTGTGATTTTTTGTGAAATTTGATGTTAATAAAATGATACCAGGAGCATATCATTCCACAGTCATTTATCTCCCCCATAGTATTGGCTCAGTAGGGGTGACACTTCTTTTGTCCAGTGTGTGTATATACACGCGCACAAACGCAAACACAAATATTTGCGCGCACACACACATGCAGCCATTCACTCATACAAATGCACCTAAATGCACACATACAAATACGTCTAAATGCACAGACTTCCGTATTTGCATTCTCTACCAACATATAGTGTAACTCCTTCCTCACTCCCCCTTTCAAGCATATCAACAGGACATGGGGCAGTCACTACCACAGATGTGTCTTATGTGACGGTAAAATGCAGCCATCATACTGGTATATGTACCGTTATCACACGCATAACCCTACTTCAACAAATCATATCAAGTCGCTCATTAATTCCCGAACAAATGTCAAGATATCCGAAGAAAGTGCAGCGTTGTCACAATCTTTGGGATTAAAAAGTCAAATGTGGATGACTGATACGAAGTTTGTGGATGGTAGCGTCACAATACACGGGAATGAGAAATAAGTACGTTTATCGTCTGAGAATACCTTGCTACCGAGTTACGGGTTAGGGGTTCCGTGATGTTGCCCATCGTATGTGATGTTGCCCATGGGTAAAAGGAATCTATTCGCCAAAAGCTCAGATATGCTGAGTTCTTTTCACAATAAATCTTTTTTTTTTCATCAGATTACAAATCCTGTCCTTTAAATGCGCGCGACAGATCATATAAATGTGCACCAACTTGTACACCAACATTTTCGCTCCTTGGGTAAATGATAAATGATGAGTGCAGTATGCATCTGTTGTAAATCTTAAGTTGTTATACCCTTTAAAACACTGTAACCTTTTCAGAAGGCATCATCATCGATTCGTGTGGAATCAACAAAATGCAGAACGGCGTCTTGTCAATGAAAGCTACACGCGCGGTCAGGAATAATAGAATAATTATTTTTACAGTAAGTGTTTTTAAGCAAAATTGTCTGTGCTATATGACGCTAACCAGTTTCAAAACTAATATTTCAGGGCGTTTGAATTTAATGACGCCTTCTACTGACTAAATCCACTAGTGCATTGAGTCCGACACAGACTAACCGCGGCGATTGTGCTAGGTGGGCTGAACAGAGGTTTGAAATGCGATGCCCATACAGTGCACGTATACTGCCCGTAATACCCTTTTCGTACCCGTGGCCGTGCGAAATCGCACGGAATCGCACGGATTTATAAGGCCATGTAATGTGGACATACTCGGCGTAGCCCGTAGCTCCTAACGATTTTTAAAAAAATCATACGGACAATTTCATCGATCGGTGCCCGTGTAAATGCAATCTAGGCTTTACGGTGCATGTACGTCTTATCCCAACTTAGACAAATACCAAAGGACCTCATTTAATATTTTTTCAAAAAAATATTATATGATTGGATTTTTCTACTTTCCTTCTGTGCTGTAAACATTAATCAACAGTCATATTTGAATAAGTATGTAACTAGTACACATCCATACACATGGGAGTACGAGTGCTGATTATGCAGTGCACGCGCAGTACTACGTCATTTAGCGGACCTTTATTTACTGGAGGGCCAGATATATTACATAGGCCAATTTACGACCAAATATTTGAAGAAGGTGCAGTTTTATAGCTTTTTCTTTTGGCTGAACGAGAGTTCAATCTGGTTTATAACATGGCATGTCGACTTTGTTTAATCGTATAGAAAACTAGTAGAAGGCTCGGTTTATATGTATCTTTAATGTACTAACGTTATATATTTATTTGCATTTGCTCTCTTGGTGTTTTAAGGCATGGGAAGGGAAATGCAAGGCAAGGCAAGACAAGACAAGGGAGTTACCATAAATAAATGTCTCACTTAGTCAAGAATTGCAGCAGATGTGCTGCTTTTTCACCTCCCACAATGCAGGTCATATAATATGTTCCCGGAAAAGCGAAGAAATAAACAGAGACAAAATGCATATTTGTAGATAATTTCGTTTTTTCGCCCTAACCTTTGGGACTCTCTAGGGGAGGGTTCACATAAATGTTAGGATGTGCTCAGTTATTACTTCTTGCGCTATATGCAAGCTGTTTGTATTATTTTTCAGTAATGAAAAAAACTTGTTATTGTCTATCAGTGTTTTGAAGCTGTAGATTATGCCTGACTAACATCATTTCATTCTCCTCAGTATATCTTTTATAACCTCGATTCCAACTTCCCCTTTGTCGGCTTTTTGTACTATGTTGTTCAGCCTCCTTCTGAAGATGAGTGGAGCGTCCGGTAGAATATATTCCCTTAGCAGACGAGAGTTGTACGCCCATACATTTAGTTTCTCATTCAGTCCTACACAAGAACCATTCACGCATGGCACCCTGGAAACCACAAACGCAAATAAGAGTATAACTTGGTGGAAATTAACATGTATTTGTCATATAAAACTTGGAATAATAAAGCATATACTATTATAGCTAATTTTGAAAGTTTTATTTAAGTCTACATTATATAAATAAGGTTTAAATGTAGTTTTTTGACATAATATTAGACTAAAGAAAATGTTAAAGATTAATTTTAATAAAATGTTAAAGAAGGTTTTTGATTTTATTGCAACTTATCCCAAGTATCCCAAGTAGTAGTAAGGTTTACAAATAATTAAAATATTGTAGAGAACATGTAACTGGTATATGTGTATTTCTGACTTCAAATGTAAAGTCTAGTAAACTGATACACACATCAAAAGATGAAGAACGATCTACATGTACATGCACTGTATACCTTAATGCTCTCTTCTTTGGAGGCCCTTGTTTTGCGGCACAGTCATCCATGTTGTGACAATACATTTCTCCTATTCTAAAAGACGCCATATCCACGAGCTTTACAGTGTTGTTCACCATAACGAACTGGCCCATATTAAAGTCTCGCATTTCTACGGAGCCGTTTGGATGTTGGCGAGCAAAGTCCATTAGTTCCGCCACTTCATAACTGATCTATAAACAAATGTACAGAAACAAAGCAGAAAATGATGATGCAAGTACTCAATATAGTCTTTTGGTCAATTTTGATGCAATGTTACATGATATCTAAATCCCCACCAAATTTTAATTGTGTACTATACGTAGCATGAACATTCAGAAAACGTAACTAGCATTGGGCTTCAGTCCCTTGGGATTTTAAAGTCACACAATTTCAATGCAAAATATGAAAAAATGAAAATTTCAAATTTCACAGAATACATTACTTTATTACATCAACAAAGAAAATCGCGATAGAACACTGCACGCAATTCTTTGTATACCGATCATGGAATAGGCCGGGGCACAATGCGCACGGTAACTCTGTATAATACGTAATTTCTATTTACAGTGTTCTTCTCCAAATACATGTAACCACATCATTCCAGCGACTGTCTACCGACTCCGTCCATCCTGGTGGAGACCTGCTGTAAGAGTTACTAGTTACTAGCTGCACATCTTGTAAAAAAATGCATTGGTTTATACGGTATTAAAATAAAAGTGCCTAGAATTTTACATTTACAATACTTTCTCGTACACAACATTCCGGGTGGCAGAAGTAGGAGAGCAGATTTTCAATCTATTTTGAATGCTGTCATTAATTCACCTTTCCACATTTATTGATATAACCCCCACACACACATGTATATTTTCTATAAGTATACATAAAGTTAGATTTATGCACAATATGTCAAAGAAAAATCTTTAAAGAAAAATCCCACTTCATAGCGTTCACTTGTAAAACTGCGTTCCGAAATCGTCGTCAAAAGCCGTAAAATGGTGGCAGTTGCAAGAATTTGGCACTTTCTCGACATTGTCCAAGAGTTCATGGGTCGTTTGTACACGGTGTCACAGTACGAGTATTCACTGCAATCGAGATAAGCGGGACCAAAATGGGCTTCTCCTCTCGTATTATATATTATATATTATATAAACATCGGGACGAGCTTGACTTCAGTGAGTACTTATGCCGCAGTAATGACAGGTGGAAGTTGCCGCTGAAACTAGTAGCCTACGTTTCTTTACATTTCGTTACCTGTAGTTACTTGTAGTTTCTGTACATTTGTGTTACCTGTGGTTAGTTTTAACTAAGTTAAATCTTCTTAGTTGACAATGTAATGTACACTGAAGTATATAATGGCGTAAACTTAATTATTTTCATTGATTAATTGCCGAGTTGTGATATAAAGTGTTTTTCATTACTTATGACTTTTACATTCGGGACAAATTTTTCTGTCCATAATATAAATGAACAGCTTTTAAATTCCAAAATTTCGCATTTAGTAATATTAGAAATGTTTTTCATTTCTTATAGAATAAAAAATAAATTCACTTTATGTGTAAAATCTGCTAATAATTGGGACACCGTGTCTAAGTCAACAGAGCAGTTTTGTATCTAATTTCATTTCACTAAAATGATTTTTATGGCCGTAATGGTAATCAGTGTTCTGCAAGGATTGTATGTTGCTGTTAATTTTCTCTCCCATAGTATCTGCATGTATCGAAGAATGACATTATCCAAGGAACTGTTGGGGAGTCAACTCCAAGGCCCACATCCTTGGAAATCCTTGGAAGCTTACGAATGAGTGAAGTGTAATAACAAATATAAATACAAATTTGTAACCTCATTTGACGACGACAGGCACGATTGACCTCGGAATATTGGGCATTTTGAATTCTTTCACGACAAAACATTAAAATATACGCACGTTTGACCCCTATATGTTTGTTGTCCCAATCACCCGGAGAACTGCCTCATGCGATCTACATAGAACTAGGTTAATGGCATAAAATGTCAGCGATCGTGCTCTACCTGCACGCTACCTGAAGTTTCGTGATCTGTACGGATTTGGCTCTGCTGAGGAAATGCACTAGGCCTATTAGCCTTTGATCTTGTCCTGCTTTTCCAGTCCCTTCGTTTTATTCTCAAAGGATTAAAGTTACCTGTATTTACATGTACCTGTAGTTACTGTTAATTTCAGTTACCTGCAGTTACTTATAGTTTCTGTATATTTGAGTTACAGTACCTTTAGTTTCTGGTCCCATGTCGTGTTTGACAGGTTGAGAGGTATCCCCATCTCAGTTACCATGGTAACCGTCGTGTCTACAGTACCATCAAACAGTGTGTTGGGTATGCAGTAGCCCAGTAACTAAAAGTTAACATTGAAAATGCAATATACTTAAACGTACATAGTATGATAAATGGGGCCACTTGTTCTGGGAGGTAGCTCAGGGCATTTAGCACGTCGATTTTGCAAGCAATTAACACACAGTTAGATTAATTAACGCCAATTATGTCTGGGGTTTGTCAATTTATTGTCTTTTGGTTGTTAGACTGACAGCAAGCCGTCCTGTATGTTCACCTACTGTATAAATGATATTAATATTTAATTTTGTTCACCAACGCCCCCTGAAATCTCAGCCTCCTCGATGAACCTGTACACCTTACAATGAATGTCGGCTGATACGATGGCCATCAGTGGCTATGTGTTGGTGCCATTCAAGCACTTGCAGGTCCAATCGGTAATTAGTTGCAATTACTACTCAAACCTACCTTTATGATGTTTGTGTGGTGTAATATTTGATGAATCCAAATTTCCTGTACGAAACACCAAGCCACTGCTGCATAACACGCGGGTAGCGATTTTCTCTCAAGCAACAAGCATTTCTTCGAAAACTTGCTGAACATAAACGGCGTTTTAACCACCACTTCTCGGTCATGGTACATGGCGCCATATGCTAACTTATGCATTCCATGAGAAAGAGCTCGCCGGTTCATAAAGCTTCGCCTTGCTTCGCAGCCAATTCCGTTTTCCAATCTCTTGAAGTGAGAAGCTTCGCTTAAATGTTGCTGTGTCCGCATTAGTTTGTTATATGCTTTATAAAACCGTATGATAAGATTATCATGTGTATTAAAAGTGGGGCTGATCGACGCAGTGCAAGAGTTTGTCAGTGGTTTTCTGGTTCCGGATAAAATCCACTCTAGGTAGAGGTCTGAGAAGGCGTGAAGTCCATCGAGTGTGTTAACGTCACACAGCGAAGCGTTGAGGTTTGTTACATTGCCCTCCTGCAATACACGATAGAATCTTGGATAGGGTGGTAAAGTGTCGTGGAAACGGCTGACATGGGGCGCCAATGGATGTTCACGTTGCAGGTCACTTACCAACAGGTAGTGCACGAATAAACCAATGACGCTTAGAAGACAAAATGCATACCAAGCACTGAGTGCGTATTCCATCGTTCACTAATACGTGGAGCACAAACTCGTTATAATATTCATCTGACTTGTATCAAACAATGCCCTGTCGCTTTTTTTTTATTCAAAGGCGAGATGAAATTAAAAATTAGCATTGGAGCAGGTCGTGAATATTCAAGCATAATATTATTTACATACCGTGTCGGTCATAATTATTTGTATATTTATTTCTTGTACCAGTTGAAGATTGCACACTAAATTTAGTGTTAAAATACGATTTCATAAAGTAAAAGTTACAACAAAACCAAAAATATTTTTTTGAAATTCCCGTAACAATTTATTAGCTGCATCATTGAAACATGTACGTGGTGGCCGAAGAAAGGATGAACAATTAATAAAAGTAACAATGAAAACAACGGTGTTTTTAGAACAATCTTCAATTTCAGATTTTAGAGATGGTAGTGAGCTATCCTTTTTCAACACTGGTCGTGTTCACAAAAGACTGTAAATATTACAGAGAGAGAGATAGAGAGAGAGAGAGAGAGAAATTGAAGGAGCGCAATACGAAAAAAAATGGTACTGGGTAGATTGTTCTCGTCTATATGTTTTGCATGTAACATGTTTTATCAAATTTTGTCTCTAGATAGATAGAAATTTATTTATTCTTTTTCTCTAGCCATAATTCTTTTTATAAAACCAGCAAATCAAGCAATCAAAATATATTTGGGGAGATACTGCCAACACATTTACATATATCGCTAGGGAGTTTGTGACTAATCTCATGTTCAAATAAATAAAATTCTCTTTCAAGCCTGCTGTGAGCGGACAGAGAGGATGATTAAACTAAATAATAATTGATAATTCAAGTTATTTATTATATTTTCAAAGCTAGACTATATTGGCCCGAGATGACAGGGTGATTTGTTTTGTCTCTCGTTTTTAAGTAAAGGTAACGGACTGCAGATCTGACACATTCAAAGGGATCATGTCCTTACAGCCTGGACAGTGTGCTAAAAGTCGGATAATTTTCTTTGTAAAAATTTCGAAGCAAACCCGTCCCCACCCCAAGTAAACCTATTTCGTACTTCAAACTGTTCCAGGGACTTAGGAAAAAATCCTAGTTGCAAAATGCGTTGCAGTTACAAAATGCGTTTTCACGAGTTTCTTTGGTTGCAAAATGCGTTGCAGTTGCAAAATGCGGCTCTACAAGGCAAGGCAAGTGAGGCAAGAGGAAGGGAGGGACTTGCCCAGAATAATTGTCCTACTTACTACAGTACTGCAGCAGATGTGCTGCTTTTTCACCTACCACAATGCCAGTTGAGTAGGTGGAGCTCTGCCAAATATGTTTTGTATTATTCTTACAAGTAGTCGTACAATATCACTATTTAACATAATTCATATTTATTTATAATTGCATTCCTATTGTACATTTTCATCTACCCATGAAGATGCATACGATACAATGAATAAAGCACATACAAAGCGTGCGCTCTACCACTACCTACCACAATGCAGGTCATATAAACCTTACATTAAAGTGAAGAAAATAACACTAACAAAAATGTATATCTGTAATTTTTTTCGTTTTGAGCCCTAAACCTTAGGACTCCCGAAAAGAGAGTTCACATTGACGTCTGGATGCGTTATGTTATTACCTCTAGTGCTCATATCAGTACAATTATTGTATAAACTTAAATTAATCCTTAATGAAAAATAAACCTGTTACTGTCTATCAGTGTTTTTTCAGCTGTTGATACATGTATGACCTGGCTAATATCATTTTCCTCAGTTTCTCTTTTATAACCTCAATTCCAACTTCCCCTTTGTCGCCTTTTAGCACCATGTTGCTAAGACTCCTTCTGAAGATGAGTGGAGCGTCCGGCAGAATATATTTCCCTAGCAGATAAAAATTATACATCCATACGTTGAGTTTCTCATTCAGTCCTACACAAGAACCATTCACACAGGGGACCCTAGGAACAAAAACGGAAAAGAAGCGTATTACATAACGCGAATTGACACACACACACACACACACACACACACACACACACACACACACATATAGTCTAAAATCCAAATTTGTTCAGTAGACTTTACAATGAAACGCAAAAGAAGTAATATAAAGGCTAGTAAAATTATAAAAAGAGGAAAATTAATTGAAAGAAATAATGTAGAAATTGAAATGGTACTTGATCACTGACTTAAAAACGTCAATAATAAAAACTCTTTTCATAAAAAATTTAAATAAATACGTCTATAGTTCCATTTTAAAAGTAGCTGGAGAGTATATCCTATGCAGTGAAAGTGGCAGTTAATTCCATTCACTACTGCACGTGCAGCGGCCTTAAAAGAATTGTCACCATATCACGTGTGACACAAGTTGAGCCCTTCACGATGTTCAAAGTAAATGGTCGGAAGAGCGTAACTGGCAGGGGGGAGTCTTGAATTGATACAAGAACGGATAAATATGGTGGGGCCAAGGTCTAAAAGCAACTTGTGCGTACACTAAAAGTTTAAAAAGAATTCGTGCTTTATTGTGAAGCCCATGAAGTTATTGAGGATAGAGCTAATGGGGCTGTCACCAGGTGTACGGGTAAAAACAGAGATATTTTGAGCAGAGATATTTTAATACATTGCAGATGTTTTATCTTTTCTTATGGACATCTGTAAAGAAGAGAATTGTGGTAGTCTAGTAGAGATGTAATAAGGGTATTTAAAATAATAGCTGCAGAGGAGTCACTTAGATGATTTCTCATAGAAGCTATGTTTCAGATGTGAAACATGCATGACTTAGAAATTTGCGATGTTTGTTTGCCCATAGACAAAAATAGTGGCCACGTATGTAACGACTCTATCCTGGTCCTCAAATCAAATTTGGTCCCCTGGTTCTAAATTGTTTACAAGAGGCTTTACAACACCGAGTAATGAGCCCCCCCCCCCCACACACACACCATCATCCACAGTTTTGAACACAAGATGCACAGCACGCTATTAATATGGATTGAAAGGGTAGGCACGCGGCAAAACTATTGTGTTTTTAAAAAAGAATGATGAAATATTATAGCAAATATAAAACGAATCAAATAAATTAAATGCATTTGTTTCTAACATTCAGTGTACAGCCGGTTTTTTGGTAGAACATAAAAGTTTTAAGCTTCAAGAATTGGATACCATAACAGAGTCAGACAAGGGCTTGATTTCGGTGCCACATTTGATCACGTCACGATGGACATTCACAGGTGAAGGACCAGAACAGTCTTGATGGACATTCACAGGTGAAGGACCAGAACAGAGTCTTTCGGAAACAATTTAGAACCAAGGGAAAAAAGTGATTTGAGGACCAAGGTAGAGCCGTAACACACGTATACACCAAGGTTTTTTTTTTTTTTTTTGCATGAGAAGAAGTTTAGGCCACACTTTCACCAATCTTGATATTGATACTAAATAATAAATACTGATAATAAAACATGTAGATCTACAACTAGTAACCTGGGACCCAAACTGCAAAAAGCCTTCTAAAAATGATAAAAAATTAATGATATAAATTGTCTGAATATCGCCGGAGAGCCTTATATGCTATATTATGCCAACTGAAAAATACAAGTACATATATGAGTAGGGTCGCATGTAATAAGACCGGTAACCAGCGACGCAGAAGTATCAAACGATGGTGTACGATCTATATTATGGTGACCTACCTTATCGCTCTCTTTTGTGGATTCCAGTGTTTTGAGGCACAGTCATCCATACTTTGACACTGCATTTCTCCTACCCTGAACGACTCCATATCCACGAACTGAGCAGTGTTATTCACCATGACGAACTGGCGCATAGCAAAATCTCGAAATTCTACTGATCCATTTGGATGTCGACGAGCATAGTCCATTAAATCTGCCACTTCATAACCGATCTGTAAAAATGCACAGACACAGAGCAGAAAATTATGATTCTAGCCCACGATATGTTTATTTTATCAATTTTGATGTCTTATTATGTATTTTGATGCCTATTTATGTTGAATAGCATAATCACCAACAATTTTTTATTCATGTGCCACAGGTACATGTAACACAGACATTCAGAAAATGTGCATAACATTGGGCTTCAGGCCATAGAGATTTTAAAGTTACACACTAAAAATGCCATTATGTATGTTACCTTTCTGAACAATTTGTTCCCTGTAGATTGTGTACATTTGAGTTGCCTCTAGTTTTTGTACCTTTGAGTTACAGTACCTGTAGTTTCTGGTCCCATGTCATGTTTGACATGTTAAGCGGTATCCCCATCTCAGTTACCATGGTTACCGTCGTATCTACAGTGCCATCAAACAGTTTTTTGGGGACGCAATAGCCCAGTAACTAAAAACGTTCAAACAGAAATCAAACATAATATGAAACTTAAACATAATATGAAAAATGAAGATGCTTTCACTAGCAGAATATGTGCTGGAAGACCTCATGACACCGTATGGGCTGATAACGCACGTAGGTT